TCCTGCCACCAATTGCCCACGGCGATGAACCAATTCCAAGATGCTCTTTCAACAGCGGATCATCCTGTCAGCGAGGACAGGCACGTGTTGCCGGGGACAGTCACTCGGCTTGGGAGCTCCCACAAAGCGGCCAAAGAGACTAAGAGCTGCTTCGAAAGTTTCTCACCATTTTCCGGCGTTTTGGAGGTCTCAAATTGTTTGGGGTTCACGCACGACCCGTGCCACGTCCCATCACTACAATGCTACCTGCTACCTCCCCATGCCATGGTGTCGCATCATGGCTTAAATCGCTGGTGGAGCAAGTCAGCCCGTCCCCTCGACACCGTGGGTTGATTTGGCACCGCACAAAAACCCACGACACGCCTTGAAGTTGTACTGGACCTCTACTCCTCAGTGACAAGTGTCACATCACGTGGCCATGATGGCACGAATTCACTTGGCACGATTCATCATGATCTTTCATGCATAGAAGGATTGGGCCTGGCTTCACAGACTTCAACATCTCCTCTTGGCCATGGATGTTTGTAGTAAACGCTGACTGAATGGTGTAGGCTTAATCCGCTTAATCTGTATATATATAGTGGTGATGGCCTAAGCCACTGAGAAAAAGGCCGGCCACTGTTGAAGCGGTCGCCAACGGACCGCCCTGCCGATCACCACGGTGCCCACGGACTGCCGACAAGTGCTTGAAGGCCCGTCCCTTCCAGGTGGTGGGGGGCACCTGGAAGGGAATCCAAAGCCGGCCACGAACAAGACAAAAATGTATGTGAATGTGACCCTCTCCTCTTTTTGGGTTGGAAATGGTTGGACAACGGCTCGCTGAAAAATACAGAACACTAAGTTCTTGCCGCCCCAAACCACTTCTTTTCGCCTCTGCTATTGGCCCAAACCTCCTTTCAACGTCCCGCAACCTTGGCGAGACATGGCCGCACCACTGCGCCAAAGGGGCTTGAGCAGTGGGGCGTCTTCGTCAAGATCTTCTCCTGCGGCTTGGCGCCGGCAGTGACCCGCGCAGAGTTGGCGCGCTCCTGGCGATGTCTGTCTCTTGTTCCGCGGTGGTGCTGTGCAGGGGGAGATGAGAACAACTGTCTCAGAAGGTGGGGGAGATTGGAAGTTTCAGAATTTTGGGGGGAGTGACTGGCCTGAAGGATCTTGAGATGCACTCAGACCGTTGCAAGTATCGCTGCTAAGTTACTGGATCTGAGAGGTCTGATGAAACAAATCATACCCGTGACTTCTTGGTAGCATTGTGCAGTCTATGCTGAAACTCGGCTGGTGTAACTTCAGGTTTTGAACAAGTCATCTTAAAGTACATAGTCTTGTTCATTTCATGTCGTGGGTCCTACGGTCCGTTTCTTCTTCTGTACTTGACTTACTCGGAGGTTGGCGAACCATTCTTTGGCCGCACCATGTCAGGCCAGTTTTTCGCACATGGCATTTTGAAGCGGCGGTTCAGGGCTCAGGTGTTCAGAACACTCCTTAGCAGCCAGGCGCTCTTTACCAGGAGCCTTCCTTAAAAAACATTTCGTTCATGCAAAAGCCTGAGCCTTCAAGAAGTCTCCGGGAAATTCCGTCAGGCAGGGTCCCCGGTGGCCTTCCATAGGAGCTGCACAATGGGACTCTTGTGTAAGGCAGCCATGTCTTCTCCAGAGAAGCACCGGAGCGCGTGCATTTGCGGCCTCTAAAAACCAAAGCGAAGGCAGGGTTGGACACGAAAACCAAAACTTGGATGTGAAAAGAAACCGCAAACATATTCCCTCAGCTAAAAACTTGAGATTTTCAACCAGCACCCTCCAACAGGTCACCACTTGCCACGTTTCAGTCTGCAAAAGTCACCATTTCGGAGACCTGATGGAAGGTGCTGGTATGTGGATTTTCCATACCAGGACCCTCCAAGGCGTGTCTATTTATAGCTGTTAAGAGGTGTCCATCAACCACCCCTTGCGGGTCCTGGTATAGAAACGGTTTTGGGGATTCCCTCACTTTCGGGATTCCCTCGACATCCACCCGATCCGATGTAAAAAAACAGGAATCGGTTCGGCGGGCCAGCGGTGAAGGGTAAAACCTATCAGTTTGGCGGGCGGGGCGGGGTCTACGAACCAGCTTTGACGTGGAAGTTTGGCAGTTACTTCTCTTGAAACTTGGTCCATTTTCATGAGGAATCCCACCACTTTCAAACGTCCAGGTCGACCGGAGGCTCATGGCAACCATTCCTATTGTGTCGAAACATGGGCCGATTCCGCTTCATTCTGAACGAAGTAGTTTGATCCATCTTTACCTTGATAGGGAGTGCACCTGTGAGATGGCAAGCTCTGACCCCTCTCTAGGATCACCTCGGCCCCTGTGCCCAATTACATAAGAGCCTCCGGTACACCCTGCTCCCAACATGTCAGAATCCCCACACCTTTGTCACACATAGAAGTGGTGTCACCAACCCCCACACCTAACATAATGGTGTCACACTTCCTCGGCACCTCCTCGCCCTGCACGAAATCAAACATGCAAAAGCCGTGTGTCAACGCTGTTCTCCTCGCTTCAAGCAGCTTCCGCCTCAAGGCTCTCGAGGCGGCGGAAAGCCGCCATGGACGGCCCAGCAGCGCCCGCATCGCGCGCTGCTGATGCAAAGGCCACGATGCAACGTGTTTTGGGGGCGAAGACGCCGCAACCAGAGGGGGTGGACGCCGAGTGCTGCACGGCGCCACTGGAAGATGGGCTGCGGCTGAAGTGGCGGAGGCTGCTGAGGCATTCTTTTTGCAAAAAAAACATTGTTCTTTTGGAGAGTAGTCGGTTTTGTTCAAAACAATTTCAAAACTGGCAGGCGTTTGCACCCTCAAAAGTACAAATAAAACATGTTGTAGGTTCATGCACTGTCAGCTGACACTTCAGAAATTCAAACGCCACTAGGTCCTTCACATCTATCATCCCGACCCCAAATCCAATTCCTCACCCGCTCGGAAAGGCCCAAAGCTGGAAAACATGTACCAAGTCGGACTCTCGGACCATTGTGGCTTCATGTTGCATGGAACTGATTGGGGCAACGGCTCCAGTCAGTGCGAATTCGTCCGTGCTCTTAAAGGACCTGACGATCAAAGATGTCATCCGTATTGGAAGAACTTCAAGCCATCTCCTAAAACACCCTGGCACCGCGGGAGGTTGGGCCTTACGCTGGGCTGGATCTGCTAGGAAGACCGGGAGCCCGATATTCCTCGCCTGGCGGATGTGTCGTCGCGGGTGGATCATCTCGGGTCGCAGCTGACCAATGATTCTCCAGACATCGTCTGAGAGGGGGAAAAACAACTTCCCTTCCCATTCCCTTCTCCCAGCAGGCTGGCTACTGCAAGGCAATCATGTATGCAATGAACTATGTGCTTAGGGGGAGTGGTGCATGCGAGGCATTGATACTTCTCAACTTCTTACCGTTCTTGCCACCAGAAGGGATGCAAGAACGAATGAAAGAAATACAAGACAAACAGATCACTTTTGGGCGCTTGTGTGTGACACATCGATGGATTAGTCGCCTGCTGGCTTCCTTCCCATGATGTACCCGTCGAGCCTCCGAATAACTGGGACACATCGAGCCGTCTCCACCGATACCCGGAGCCGTCGCTGAATCCGGCTCGCACCAGCTAGAGAATTGGTCAAAACAAACAGGTTCACCACACTTCACCTCACAAAATGGCAAACACACTTGCACCTCACCTTGCTATATATACATGCACCTTATGTAATGTATTGTAATTATATTGTAGATGTCCTCTTCCCCATTTCCTTCCACCGGCTCGCAGCTCGCATCCTTTTCGCCATCACACTCCGTGTCGACGCGTCAACGCGTCCGCGCCTTTTGGACGCGCGAAACGGCCGGCGCCGGGCGCAACGGCGAAACGGGGAGCGAAACGGCCGAAACAGCTGGGCGAAGCTGGTGACGGGGCACGGACTGAGACACTGTATACATGGGTGTTTTCTACATGGCATGGATGGAAGTACTATAGGGAATTGCCCTGGGAGGGTGCTAGAACATTGTGTAGAAGCAGGACACCTGTCATGTTTTTTGGTCCTGTCCCCGGCAGGTACACCGTACACCGACCCTTGCAGCAACAAGACTCATAGCAAATTCCTGGCGATGGATCTGCACCGAGTGTTGATCCGGTGTATTGTTTGGGCCAAAACCAGCTTCTTCCAGCTTCCTCTCCATTGGAGAAGCTGCGAAGGAACCCAGCACTGGCTGTACAAAACGACGGGTCGGGGCTGGCACCGGACATCGCGATGGATCAGAACCGAACTCGGTCGGATCATTCGGAATGGTTAACCTCTTCCATGACTTCCATGTCGAGGGACGATATAGATTCTTAGATCGTTTTATATAGATCCTTTTGGGCACCCCTATGCTGAACTTCCAATGACTCGTATTGGACAATACCGGGGGGGGCAGTCGTAACTCACCACTTTATACTACCCTCTCGTTGCGCACGATCCTATGAAACGCGCAAACGGCATATGCGTCCCGCTGGGCGCTATATGCAGGAAAGGCCCCCTGAAGATGCAAAAGACGGGAAAAGGAGCTTCCACGTAAGGACAAGAATGAGTCATGACTGGACTCAGGGACGGTCACATGAGACTTGAGCTTCTAGAGGTGGGTAAGGTGGGTATAAAATATATGAACATATACTTTGGGGGTGTATCCCATTACCGGGGCCCAGTGGAGGATGATGATGATGATGATGATGATGATGATGATGATGATGATGAGGTTGCGGCCCGGCATTTCAAAAAGAATGATAATTGTTTACCGACTGCTACAGGTTTACTGGAACACCCAGAACATATGCGTATATGGCGTGCGCACTATATACGGCATAACTGTCCAAATCATTATGCTTCTCCCTCATCACCTCAGGAAGGAGTCAATCAACGTGTCGACGGCCAGAGTCAGTGCGCCACATCGCCACTGCTCAGCTTGTTATCCTTGTCACCTGCACTCCGTTCTAAACCTGTTCGCATCTGTTCGCATAAAAATTTAGCCAGGTGCCAGACCCAGCACAAGAGAAACAACCTGAACCACTAGCTGATCCCCTGAGTTGCGCCGCGTATGCCCCAGCGGGAAGGCAGGCGCACCTGCAGAAGAGGTGGGCGGGCGGGCGGGCGGGCGGGTGGGTGGATGAGGGTTGACTGAACTTCATTGCTTCCCACCTTCTTCTTTGTAAACCAGCAATTTGAGACTCAGACCCTCAGGAACATACACACCAGGCTCTAGACTCTATAGATAACACTGTGGCCACGTGCAAGTTCCACGGTTCCACAATATTCCGACACCCTCCCGAGACAGTAATCAACAATCCATCACCACCTTTGTCTCGTAGCGCTTTTCATCGCTTGTGGCGCGCCTCATTAGCTCAAGCCAAAGGCAAAAGGTCTTGGACGGCAGGGCAGCTGCAGCTCCTCCAGTCGCAAGCGAGGTGTGGGCTGTAGGATTGCCAGGAAAGGAACTTGGGTTGCCCGGATGTATTGGAACTAGGATTGGAGAACGCAAGACGTATTCAAAAGATTTCAAAAGGAACCTTCCAGAAAGCTATCTCTCTGGAGGCCTGGAGCAGGTGAGCATTGGAAGGGATGATCAGCCATGATTTGAAGCTCTTGGCAGCTTACTCATATCACGCGTATCAAAAAATCACTTCACATTGGAATTTGATTATATTATGAATGTATTACAAATGCATGTATGTGTTCAAGTCCTGGAATTTGAACCTCCTTTAGAGGCGTTATATATAATACATTTCAGGATCCACAGAAGCAACCTTGGTGAGGCTCATAGTTTGTCAGGCCAAACCTGGCTGCACCAGTTTCCAAAGCTCACATGCACCTCAAGATATGCCGCAAAAGAAAACTCCCCAAAATCCAATCCAAAATGCAGTGTTGAGTGTTGAGTGAGGAAGGTATAGATTGACCTTCCACAAGATCGCATAACATATGCACTCCCAACCTCTCCTTTGCAGCATGAATAGCACGATGGACTCACCATTGATACAAATTTCGCTTAGCTGTAGTCCATAAGTATGAACTATTGATCTATATACTATATAGTATAATAGATACATGCTAAGTATGGACTCACTATTGATCCGAATCTTCGGATACTTAGCATCAACTTTTCCAAATGTTCTTCGGCTCGATGAAGGTCCTTGAACGATCCACCAAACAACTATACCCACCCCTAGTGCTCCTGGCCGCCCCTTCCGTTTCAAAGATGGGACAGGGGTGGGTGCCAGGAGGGTCTAACCACCTGAGGATATGCTTGGAGCCCAAGGGCACATCATGTCTGCTTTCCGAAAGCCCCTTCTCTCACCGAATCCACACCGAGCACAGACCGCGAACCGCACGAACCGCGCGAACGAGCGATGGAACGGCGCAAAGCGAACGAAGGGCGCGGTTCGAACAAGCCCAGTCGGTCGAACGGTCCTTCAAATGCTCGGGGAACTGTGAAATCAAGAAACCTCAGTTGAACATGACACGAAACCTCCATTGGCGCTGCTGGTGTTACAGTCCGGCCGCAGCTTCGGTCTGAACACTGAAGAGTGGCCGTCCCTTGAAAAGAACGATTCAGTCGTTCCCATAGAGGGCGGAGCCTGGGCGGATATGGAAGGATGCCCTTTTTTCACGTCCCCCTGAACGACTAAAACTTCACCTCAGGCAAAAGAAGAACATGTTCAGAAAGAGGCTGGCGGCTGGAGATTGAAAGGAGGGGGTCCAATATTCGAACAATCATATATAAAATGAAACCCATGAATTTCCAGAGAAATCTATGTCGGGAATGACAGCAATTTGGCAATCGGTTGTCCAGACGCGGTGGGTCCATTGACTACGGAAGAATGTGACCCTCCTGCAGATTAGGATGGCCCCCACAAGTACTGGGTTGTAGAGCGCTCTTCCACGGGTGTTCCTTCTCAGGGTCCATTGGGATCGTCTGCGGGAGCTCCCAAAGATCTCCTCCATTGAGCTACTGTAACTAATGCATGGATGGGTCACCAGACGACAGGTGCACCCTGCCTCACTGGAGGAGTGCACCCTCCACTCGAACCTTCGGAGAACCATACGGCATCCGGAGCCCCACTGCCGCCACTGCCTCACTGCCGTCCCATGGCATCATCATACTGGAGTCCCCTCATCACTGCCATCCCTACGCCTCATTCCCATCACACACTGTGTCTTCTTGGCATCCATCCCACTCACGCTTCCTCTCAAGTCCAGTCTGGTGATGTCGAGGCACGATGGAGGCCTGTGGCAAGGCACAAAAACGCTGGGCATGTGAGTTGCTTGGATTGGAGAATGCTAAGACGGAAAGAACTGCCTGACAAGCGGGTTCAAAAACAGGACTGCTCACGTTCTTGTGCAAAAAATAGACTGTCGTCTAATTTGCGCTTCATGCACACATCAGAAACTCTGCAAGACACTAGCCACTATAACTTCAGAAGGATGCGCAAAAACTGATACCTACTTCAAACTCGTCACAACCTATACATAGTGAAAATAACGTGAAAGAACTCTTGCATACAAACTATGACTGCCAATCAGTTGTAGTGTTACAGATATTATAAGTATACGGCTATGCGTTGTTCCAGCTGCATAGGTGTCTCCAAAACCCCGTCAGACGGTCTGCTCGCCTGCAGCCGCCAAGGCTTGAGCCGTTTGCAGCAAATCCTCGGGGTCTTCGTCCCAATCCACCAGCGACCTGCGCGGTTCGGCAGGTTCGCCGGCTGGGGAGTGAGAAGGCGAGACACATCCCGGCTCGTGGATTGGTCTGATTGCAGGTCTAACTCAGATAGTCTATGTTACTCAGAAACTTCGACTTGGGATCATTAAGAAATACCATAGAGCCTGGTGGATGACTTGCTGTGTGTGGTCTTGGTTGCGCTAGGTTGCGGTGTTGGAGTATCTGTCTTGGTCGGGAGGGTCTTCAGATCATTCATATAAGTCTCAGCCAGTGTCGGGAAGCGTTCAACTGCGGTCACGATTTCCCTCTTAAGTGTTCATCAATAGATCTGCTCATCACCATCTGTTGTAGCAAAAGAGCTGCAACAACCGATGGTAAACTGTTGGTATAGTGGATGGCATCACTCGGGTCCTCACTCGTACACTCACGCGCGCGCCTCACGCGCGCGAGGAGCTCTGGCTGTAAGGAATGCCAGTGAACACGATCCATCTCCACCAGGTGATCCAGTTGCGTCAGCTGCTCCTCGATTGGACACGCCTTGATCACTCGCTGGCGGAGCTGGCGGATGAGACATGGCGAGACTTCATGTGTTGGCGTATGTTTGTATGCATGGATGTAATGTAATGTAATGCAATGCACTGTAATGTAATGTATGTATGTATATTTTATATTATCATTTATATCATCATATATGGGCCCATGGGGTTAGGGAGGATGTGTGTTGGTAGACTGGTGGGTGGAGGTGGCTATTGTTTGGTGGGTTGGGATGGGTCTCAAAAATATCTGGAATCAATCCCACTGAAGCATGGACCCAGGACCCAACTGATCAGACTCGCGCACAGGATGGCGGGGGATCTTGGGGATGGTCTTGCTAGCCCCACATCCTTCAGGCTTGCCCGCAAGTAGTACAACCATCCTGGAGTCGATAGAACATGAACCAATCCAAGAAACATGACCAGCTTCTGCACCTTTGTTGGAACTTCCCATATTCTCTCTACTCCAGGTCCAGGTTGACTAAATTTAATTGTGTTTATGTTTATTTGATTTTTATTTAGGTAAGAGGATAATAAAATTAAGAACGGTACAGTAGAACAACCGTGGTGATGTCCCGTGTGGTCGAACCGCCCAGACGGACCGTCGGACCGTCAAAGGCGTACGAGGCGGCCCATCCACGATGCATGCAAACTGTGAGGATGTGAGCAAACACAAAGGAACGTGTCAATAAGAAAAACACATGCATCTGGTGCATCTGGTGTTTTTCTTCGCAATCACACTGAGCACCAGTTATGCTTCTGGTGCTCATGAACATCCAGAAAGTGAGAAGTAGATGGTGGCAAAATCTTGCAAGATGATCCTTTTGTGCTCCTGACAACCCACGAAGGGAACTCCAAAAAACATTTTTGTCCAACAAAATAGTCACTCCATCACTCCATCACACTTGCTGAATGGCTCCCGCCACAAATCAACACAGCACCTGTCTTTACACCACCCAAGCGGCATCCAGGAAGTCGGCTAAGCAACAGATCTCCCCTAGCTGGACCTGTGCTTGATCCGGATTGGGTGCTTGGTTGGTTGAAGGAGGACCCTTCCTGGCCCGGATTCTGAAAGATCTCATCCCACCCACCAGGTATATAGGTTCGGGGATGAATCAACAGAGTCGCCTTCCAGAAGATCTATAAACTATTGTTTTGGAATGTTCTGGGTAGGTCCGTTTTGAGCACCTTCTACTCGTTCTCGGGTTTCCAAAGGGTGGTCTTTGGATGCCCAGGGTGCACATGAATTGCACATGAATCTCTCAATCTCTCTCACTGGAGCTTTTTACAGTTTTCTGCATTCCTTTCAGACTCCATCTGCACACAAAACCGCCTGCAACTGCAATCCTCCTCCAACCTTCGCAGCCAAGGAATCATCCTCCCAACCCGCCAAAACAGCTCCACGCCTCCTCTGCCCTTTCCGCGGCAGACGTCTCGTCCATGCAAACGAGGAGGTCCACGTCACCCGGTGGAGACTGCGGACGAGTCGCTGATCCCCTAAGGACTTGGACCTGCGCAGGTGGTTGTAGCGCAGGTGGTAGGTGGTAGGTGTTTGTAGAGGTTGCGACGGTGGGTTCTTACAACCGAATCACCTCAGTTCAGGAGTTCAGATGGCTATAGAACATGTGCTTTAAAGATTGGGGTTCGGAACACGTAGTCTTCCTTTTTCTGTGTTAGTGGACCTCCATCTATCTAAGACATCGGCGCCATCGAACCTCTGAAACCACCGATCCTTCAGGGGTTTGTGCCATAGATCCCCAAACCAAACGAACCACTCTATAGAACTCCTTTCCCCACATCGATTGGCCCGGCCCGGCCTCACAGCGGCCGGCCGAGCAGCAGAAGGTCGGAAGCTGCCTGCTCCATGCGCGGTGTAGACGGGGTAGACGTGCTTAGCTGGTGGGTGGGTGGTATGGATGTTATGCTTGCAAGTTACAAGTCTAGACATGTCTAGACTATAGTGACTAGTGCCTTGAACCACTGTAAAATTCGATTCTAGAGCAGTATCACTAGCAGTATCCTATCTACGGATCTTTTCGGAGAGGGGACTCCACACTTATAAGGTGCCCCATCTTCTGCACAATTCCCCGCCCAACAAGTCCCAGCAGTATGCCATGCACTGCCCAAGGCAGGCGAAGCCGTTCTTTGCTGCGCCTCTTTGCCGCTGCGGAAATCTGCTGAAAGACCGACAGCACCTGGTGGCTGGGCACGACCGTGGCCACGCACGGAGGGCGTGAGAAGCAAGGAAGGTTGAATCAAATTTTGTGGAGTGGTCCGGTCCTCAAGCAAATGTTCACCTGAGGGTGAACTGCAAGTGATTCACTCTCTTCAAGTTTTGCAGGGGGATATGCAGGGCGGTTATGGGCATGGCAAAAAGGTCGGAATCCTTACCCAGACCATCCAAAGGAATGTATGCCGATCAATTGACCCCAGGTCAACCATCCCAATGTTGGTAAAATGTAAATATAAATAAATCATACATGGATGATCTGGGATGTGAGGTGCATAGCCGTAACCACCTAACTGTGGGCTTTGGTATGCGGAACCCTATATTAATTCCAATTCCATTATAGAGATTCTCCCTTATAAGATATCTGCATGATAAGAAACCCCAAACAAATGATATTTGATTCCACATATTATATATTCCAATTCTATAGAGCTTCTCCCTAAGAAAACCCCAAACAAAAGGCTGAATTCTCAGCACCCACACCGCCCCCTTCAAGCCGTCCACCTCCGAGACTTGCCACGCTCGGTCGGTGCCGTGGCTCGAAGCCAAGAAATGGATCCTCGGCGCGTCGGCGAGGAGCGAGGATCGGTGCGGTCACGGAAGAGGTGAACATTGGGTGAATGGGTGATACACCGTTTTCGGGTGGTAGAGTTGGCTTTATAGGTCTTTCACTTGTTTCTGTTTTTGTTTAAACCTCTCTCTCTCTACTAGGCTGATAAAAGCTAGTTGGGCCAACTGAGCCTTGCTAGACCTGCGAAGCATGGTTTCGAGATGTTTCGAGCACTTTTCAAAGACATGGGTGCTTTATTGCTCCATGTTTTTCGGAGCGTCTTTTCAGGTGGGAACCAGCTTCAACAGTCTTCACGTGGCCAGTAGAACTACCACAGCTTCCTGCGGGCGCACGTTCCACCCGGGCGCACATCCGGACACCCGCACTTCGGAGCGCTTCCATCTGGAAGGCTGTCCGGTTCAGTTGGCTTTTTGTTTAGATGAAGCAACGGTAGCAAGCTAACGTAGCACTGACAAGCTTGAGTTATATAGGGGTTGCTACTCTAAGCTACATCAGAATTGCCCCTCATGGATCTCATGGAAGCTCGTGTGGATTCCTGGTGGGTCCTCCATGGGGCCAAGGCCCGCCCGGGTTGTTCAGCCAAGCTTCTTGAGCTCTAACCGCAAACCACCCCAATCCAACCACAAACACACAAACAATTCATGCTTCTTGACCACATCCACCAAAACATTCACCAAAACATACTCAACAAAAAACCATGCCCCCCAAATAACCCACTACTCTCAGACTCCTTCTCTATCCTTCTCCCTCCTTCTTCCCGGCTCATCCAACCCCCCCGCCGTCCACCACCAGGGCACCGGAAGTTCTCAGGAGCGAAGCGCTCGAAGCGACCCAAGCGGGCCAGGCGGCCGGGTCCTGACGAGTTCAGCGGTGACGGTGGAGCCACGGAAACCCACACGGAAAGCACCTGGAAGGTGCCCCGGGTCCTGGTGGTGCAAAAGCCTTGCCATTGTTGAATTCAAGAATCTGGACGTCTTGTTGCCAGCAGTACTGTTGGCTGCCGTTGGGCTCGTAATCCAGGAATGTGGCAAGCACATTGAAGAAATTATTGGCCAATAGAAACATCTAAACACAATAGGTCGGTGTTCCGCCCAGGCTCCGCAACAGCTGCTCAGCTGCCATCGCAGCTGCAACCGCTCCGACAGCCTTTGGCGCCGCAACTGCCTCCGGGAGCGCAGCATTTGGCCTGCAAGGCAACGCGACAAGGCAATGCAAGGCCTGCATTTCGTCAAGCATCTTCTCCAATCAAACATGGATCAAACAGGGACAAACATGGATCAAACGGGGACATATCAAACAGGGACAGGTTGGACAGTTCTTTGAAAGTACTTGACACTCAGCATCAGCACTTGTGACCAAGGTTGGTTGACCTTTCTCCATTCTAAATGAGCTTTGCCTTCCCCAACGAGCAATGCAGTTGAGCTACTTTCCCAAGGGTCCAGCAGTGACCCACATCCTCAACTACCGTGCTTACCTGAAAGTGGGGTGGCTCCCCGGTGTTCAAGAAAACATGCATGTGTCATGTACATGTTACTTGTTTCATCGGTGCTTGGATTCCTGGTGAGGCATGCAGTCACGCAAATGTCGGGACTGCTCAACATGTGTGTTCTATGTTATCGCTTAGGGTACCAAAACCCAAAATGTTGAGAGACAACTGGCATGATCCGACATGTATTGTTCGAGGATATCCGAGGTGTATGAAGGGATGTGTCCGTGGTGACATGTGGTAAGAAGTCAATGTTAATGGTGCGAGGATCTGCGCATTGGGCCGCCTGAAGAAGGGGGGTGCTGTCAGAGTCCCACACTCAGTTCAGAGTAGATGGCACAAACCCCCAAAAAGAGAAACCACATGAAGCCACTGAGCAACCACTGTACAAACGAAGCACTTAAAAACCATCAATCATAGGGCACGAGGCCACCAAAACGCCTACCATCCCTTCTCCCCTCCCTGTCTTTCCAGCGCCATCCCACGCTTCTTCGCTTCGCACTCTCACGGCCTGGGCTCTGGAAGACCTGGAGCTTTCCGAGGATTGGGCGTCCCCGGGTGCGAAGGGAGCTCCTTGAGGTGCCCAGGTGCCCAATGGATTTAGTGTCTTTTCTATTTTGGTGCCCAAGGGCTGGTGGGGCACACAAATTCCAAGCTAGCAACGGAAGAATCCATGAGGGAAGGGATTTGATGTGCATCTGTGCATATCTGTGCAGCTCTGGAGTAGTTGAAGGGGATGCTACACAGCCATCGGATGGACGCATGCTGATGGGTGACAAACATCAACACCCCGTCTTCACGCAGGATTCGCGCGGTTTTCCCCAGTCGACTGCTGTGGTCAGACTGCTGCGGATTGGTCGGTTCACGTCCGTCATCCACTGCAAAATAATACCCAGACACTCCATGGGACTGCCATATATGCTGATCAGTTGGGATGGTGCCAGGGGGGTCAATGTATAGGCACATATATGGCAGTCCCATGGAGAGTCTGGGATATGGATGCACCACTGGCGAATGGAAAACCACCCTGCAAGCTGCAACACCTGGAGGAAATTCGAAATACACGGTCGATCGTCACCTTGGATGTTCAATGTCTCAATCTCTAGTCTTCAGCCTAGCATAGTGTCACAATGAGAACCCCCTGTTGGGTTAAGCAGGTTGGAGAGGATCCACAACACCGCAGAATTAGATTGCAAGCAAGTAGTCACGGAAAATTCCCTGCAGTGCATACATTACAGTGCGTTCAGGCAAGACTATCACGGTGGATCACGCTGGTGGTTCTTATATAATGCACCCAATCTGCTGTACGGTTTGCTTATCTGATGTTGCTTGTGGGTGCGCTATCTACTTCTTGAATCTCTAGTCAAACTCTTGCTCGAAGCTGCTCGAAGTACTGGATCTTGTTGGCGGAAGTTCGGTTGGACTCCGCTCACTATCCAGTCATTATTCAGTACAGGAGGATAGAATAGTGCTATCCAGTGACTATCCAGTACTACCAAGTTCGATTGAACTCTGTTCTTGTAAAGCATGCATGCTGCTTTGTCCCATCACTATCCAGTCCCACCACATCCCCAGCAAAGAAATCTGCAACTTTTTGGCCAACTCTTGCTGCGAGAACGTGCGGCAACTTTGGCGCGCATGACTAGGCAGCGACTTCTGGCCACCTGGCAGCAGGGATTTTGGGGGATGAAGGGCGCGTCATGGGTAGCCAAGGAGGAAACCAAAGTATTTTCTGACGTTTTCTTGGGGGGGAAGGGCCTCTAGCCTCTAGACCTCTTGTCCTTTCCTGGCCGATGCAGTTGAAAGGGTTCTCTCCGGTGGCGACAGGTGTCCAAAAGATTCCCAACAATTCCATAGGCTAGGGTCCTTCACAGTGGCCATATGGTGTATCTCAACCTTATCAACGTGGCATATACGGCCCGCAAACGCCAAGAACCATCCCCATCTCGGGCATCCGCCCATGCCACCGAAACCTCGGCGACCGGCCCCAAGTCTCAGTGACCTGCTCTTGCCGGGATCTGGTGGCAAAGCTTGGCTGAAGTCCAAGAACCAGCAATGATAAACCTGGGCGTCCAGGTTCACATCCTACCCGGACCCCAGGGTCCCCCCCCGGGGACCCCCCGGTCTCCGGCGTTGGGAAGGACTTCAAGCACTGGTGTGGGATGGAAGCCGAATCATAGCTGGAAGCCGGGACATCGGAAAGATCCACTTACACTCCGACTCACTGTTCGTGGAAGTGGATGGCACCCATGGTCCTTTGAAAAGGAACCAATCGTCTTCTGCCAAAGGACCATGCCATCCACTTCCATATATACTTCGATGATCTTCGATGTTTGTAATTACATCAACTTCGACGTTAGCAACTATCAACTTTAGAGGTTCAAGAGGTTACCAACAATTGTGATACATGGCAAATCTTTCAACAATAAGCCTGCTATGAGTACAAGGCCAGCCGCATGTCGTAAGTGGAGTCGATTCTGTCTGTTACACAGCCTGCTGCACTCCGCTCGTGAAGCGGAAAGAGAGAAACTGCGATGTCTTGAGCATTCTGATCCGGGAAGCCTTCCTTTCAAAACACAAGCGGATGGGCAAATCATCGGCAAAGCAATGATCGAATGAACAGGTGGCGTCATTGCAAGTGGACTGTGGGATGATCCAGCCTAGAAACACCATCCTGTGCATCGGTTTGTGGCAGGTCGTCATCCAAGTGGGAGACATCTTCCGACTTCACCTGGCCGACTGCCACGTGAAGTGCCATCGCCAGGGATGTGGCATAATTGCCCCCTGGAAGAGAGACCGAACCTGAAAACTGGGAAGGAAAAGAGTCTTCCACCAAAGGTTCATGCCAAGCCCGGTTCCATCTTGATCTATACCTGTGTGTACACACAAAATCCAACTACCCTATAGGGATCGAAGGATGAATGACCGTAGGTCGACCGCATCTTTGCCGGATCTTGTAAAGCAAGCACACGTGAAGCAAGAGAAAGAGATTCTTGAATCAACTTGAATCCGTGTCCACCATCATGGTATCATCCAAACCTTCAAGAAGAAAGAAACGCGCTGCATTTGCAATGGTGTCTCTGACTCTGTCTTTGTGGAATGACTCTCTGAAGGCGAAACATAAAAATCGTTGAGCTGCACTAGCAGTGCTCGCGCATGATCAGCAGACCCTGGGATCTTGGAAGAACAATATGGAAATCAATAGAGCCTGTGAAGAAATCATTGCATCATATATGAATCAATTATATGAACAAACAACTGTTTCCCCCAAAAAGCAAAGCTTTGTGTGCAAGATCCCTGTCTTTTTCGAAGAGGTGAGCATCGGACGCATCGGTCCAGCAATGAGGATCCTACGCTGGCAGACTGGCAGACTGGCTGGACCATGAGACCACTACACCAAAGTCATGGCGAGGGCGTTTTCATATCGAAGAGGGGGCAGGGTGCTGTTCTTCCTTTTGCGGGAAATCTGTTCTCTTGAAGTGGACGGTCTAGTATGAGGTTTACATGTGCAAGTACTTCCCTCCTAGCCCTAGCAAACTGATTACATCAAACCATGTCAAACCACATGTATGAGAACTAAGCTTGATGTTGGTGATTCAACTAAACCTCCCCTCCCAAAAATAACATGCAAGTTGAGAGAAATGATTTCCATATGTTTCCATACAAGGATCGATAAGGGACAGTTCTTCCAAACCAGTGGGGTGCGCCTCAATGTTCCGCTGTCGACAAAGCTCCAAGAAGTAGGCAGTGCCTCATCGGAGAGTCGGCTTGGACGAATGCACTTCGGGTGTTTGAGGCTTGGCCAAGTGGAAGCAAACTGAAAGCAAATCCAATGCCCAAACAACCTGTCATGGAATATTTGCCTATGAAAAGGAGTCAATGTAGTTCCAGGGCGTGTCTAGTATCATCTTAGAAGAAACGTTTCTGATACCCGATCAGCTGGTTCAAACCCTTAGAACTGCACTGCGTTTCCTGGCCTTTCCGCGCAAGGTTCTGCACCAGCACTGCCTTCGGCGCCGCTGTCTGCAGTACCTGAGTTGTCTGGAAATGCATGCTGTGGGTCAAATGCTCTGGGTAACCATCTGTCGGACCATCTGTGGACCTGCATAGACGCCGTGTCAAGAATGGTCCGATGAAGGGTTTGAGGGGATTGATGTCTATATGGCTCTATGGCCCTGTCGAACATTCCTGTGCCCGCATCTCGGAGCAAACACGCCTGGAGAAAAAACAGGAGTTGTGCACCATGTTTCTGGCATGTTGTGCACATGGGCACACCCTGAGGCTCTCCTACAAGGTGGAATCACCCCAGAAAGGAGGTCCATTGCGGTGGGGTGCCAATGTACAGGTGGGTGAAAAAGTCCATGAATAACCACTCAAGACTTCTTCCGGCGGTTTGGGATGGTTTGGGTTTGGGGAGGCGTTTTGGGGGGGAGGGGGCACATGAATGAGAGAGCCACACATCGGGAAGCACCTGCTTCAGACCAGCTACGTCCAGCAAATCCTCGAACAAATGCGGCTCGTACAAGACATCGCTGCCGATGACCAGATCGAAGGAGTGCTCAGGAACTGGTACACCTGCAGGATCGGACTTTGTTTTTGGGGTGAAATGGTATCCCAGACCATAGATATTATTGAAACAAGCACCGCATGCTTTGATGGCCCTTTCATGTCTCACATGGATGATTCTTTCGCCCATTCACCCGATCTTTTAGTGGTTATCAGCGGAATATTCACCCTATGGATATCTATGGATCCACCCACTTGCTCAAAAGGTAGTAAGACCCTTCAAAGCCAACTGAAACAACCCGAACATCCAATTAGATTTCGGCAATGATGATCCTCACTTGGCAAGTCTGCCACAGTCTGCGCAGGTTGACGTGGTTGGCACATAAATACCAGGTACATCTTCGTATGCCAAAACCGGGTCTTTTTCATCGCCCCTTCCTTCCGCTGTGAATTCCATGCCCCCCCCCAAAGATACCTGGTGGCAAAGAACCACTCATGGGAGCACTACGCCCGCCCTGCCTTGCGTCCAATCCTGAGGGGGTTCCAAGCGCGTCACTGAAAGAAGAGGCTTTCCATGGAGGAACTCTCAAGGGGCATTCCTGATGCCATATATGGCAACTGGTCCACGTTCATGTCCTCAACTGCGTGGAACACACATCTTGGCCAACAAGCTGAGCTGCTTTTGAAGAACATCTCCTCTTCACTCCCTCAGCACCCACCTCCCACACCGACCTCCATCGCCCAAGTGGCCAACTCCATGACCTGCGCTTCACCGAACTCCACCGCGCCCACGCCATCCGCGCCATCCGCCTGCGCCGCCCGAGCCAGCCGCCGCTCGTGGAAGCGCTCCACGTTGCGCCGCAGGTTCTCAAAGGTCGTGGCGGCGCCGCTGTAGCCGTCGCGCGTCTCGGAGAGGGTGACCTCGCGCGTTCGTCGCTGGTGGTGTGTCGGCATTGGGGCTGAAGAGAGGTCAATGGAACCAGGAACATGGTTTTCTTTGGAGGTTGGGCCGGGTTGTAATGTAAGACGTCTATCTCTTGGTGTGTTTGTCTTCAATTCCAGCTTTAGGTGCTCCTGGAACAGCTTGATTCTCAGAGGCCCAATCTCCAAATGGCACCGAAGGAGACTGCAAGGTTCCTCTAAACCAGTCTGGACCGCTCACGTCCACTGAACCCAAACACTGAACCCAAACACCGCAAGTCATTTGTTGTGCTTGGACCAGGTACCCCTGTCAGCTAGGTTTTAAAAAGCGCCTCCGCTATAGTCAGCAGAACTGAGCTAAGCCCTGATATATGCAGTGGTCATCGGAGAAAACAGCTGATTTTCTCCTCACTGCCTCCGCCGTCCGTGCTCCGAAGCATCCAACCCAGGCCTTCATTCCATGGTCCGCTGCCAGCAGAAGACCCACCAGCCCCACACCGGCGCCCACTTCCAGCACTCGGCGGCCACTCGGTAAGGCTCCTTCGAAGTGCAGCAAGGACTTCCAAAGAAGCCAAGCACCACGCCAGACTTTGCCTCCCGAACGGGTGCAGAGAACAGAAGGATTAACTCCGAACTTCATCATCTAAATTGTATAAGAAAATCATCCAGATTTCGCTGAGATTCTTTGTGGCCAAGTGGTGGCCAAGATGTGGTGGCTTCGAATTTTTGTTAGGGTTTGCTAAGAAGTGCTGTGGTCTTTGCAACTTTGACTCTGAAGATCTGAGGAGAAACACCTGAAGAACCAATAGGGAGAAACACCGTCCTCCTCTTGAATCACGTCTGTTCCAACATGTGTTGGGACCCAATCTACGAGAATCTATGCCTATGCCTACGAGCAGTTGTCTTGGATGTGTCTCTTTTTTGGAGGGGACCTTCTAGCAGCACCCTCACAGGCGTGCTAAAAACCTTTAGGATCACAAACCATGTTTCCTTTCTACACGTCAGTCCTGAAAAGGCCCCCGCTGGGAAAGAAACGAAGGTGGCTCAGAAAATCAGAGCATATGGGAATGAAACTACGAATGAAATAGCAGCCTGGGATTCCAACGGCCACTGTTTAGGTCTTGGACAAGAGAACCAGATCAAACATGATCAAACCTTCCTTTGAAGCTGAGGGAATCGGTCTTCCAACTCGGCAAAACACCTTCTACCTCACCCCACCTTGCCCATTCCCAATCGACCGTTCCGTACCAGTTTCCGGGGTCTCATCGCCTCCCACCGTTTCGGGCGCTTCTTGAAGCACCAGCGGCAGCTGCCCCTGGGGCCGATCCAGGCCTAGGGCCGGTGGTGGATCCAGGTGGTGGTCAAAGGGTCTAAGACCCGGTGGGTGCGTAGATTCAAGGGTTGCAAGTTGGTCCTAAGGTCCGATTTTTGAGGTTCTAAAACGAACACGAATGGAAAGGAAACGAAACGGATGGAAGAATGAGGCCGGGGTGGGACCCAAAGGGAAACAAAACAATTTCCTAATTCTCTCCATTTGTGGGAGAACACATGTGGGATTTCATCGCTGGACCAGAAATGTAGGATTTGATGCGCCGTTTCTTGCCATGATTATATTTAGCCAAGGAGAGAATGCGCTGTAGAAAACTTCCACTAGGCACAGCCCGCTGCTAAGCAGTGAGCCTGATACACCTTTCCAAAGGTGTTGGCAAGGTTCTCTAGTTTGGCGATAAATAACTTCCAACATGTCACAAAATTAACCGGCCGAGCGGCAACACAGGAATGCACACAATCAAGAACAGCAAATTATGTCCTTAAGCTTGTCTTTAAGAAGTTGACCTGCTTTGCATCCTTTGCCTTTCACCGGTGAGAAACAAACCTCAATCCATTTTTTCTAAGTGATTTTGTGTGCACCTGTCACAAGATCATTGTTACACATGGTTCAGCAAAACAAAGGAGCACGGGGAGAGTCGGGAGAGTTTCTGGAGAGACTGTATACTATCACTTCTCTGAGGGTCGGATCAGCTTGACCTGTCTTGTTGTTGAATGTGTCAACAGAGGTTGAAGGACCCTAATTCGCCTATCCCATAGGCACCCCAGTAAGGTCCTATTTACGGTCACTTAACCTCTCTTGGTGTGGTCACATGAATGAAAACAAATCAACTGAGCCGAAGAAACCTTTTTGGCGAGTATGCTGGGTTCGCCCGGATCAAACAAGTTGGGGAAACATCCTCTTTGGATCTCTCAACCGCGACCTATATAGCATCCAACTAAATGCCCAAGGGCATCCAATAATCAACACACTTACGTGTTTTCCCGCCCAACGTGGTGCCAGAGCTGCTCAACGACACATAGCCATCGATGCTTTCGCCGCAGCTCTGTTCCAAACGTTCATGACAGCTGTGCTGCCATGCTTCTGCCACCTGCAGAATTGCACTGGTTTGCCAACAGACCACCCCGTGAAGTCCACAGCAACTTGCAAAAAAGACTCGAACTCAGCATTAAACAAATAGAACATAGCATTAACATGCGTACATATAGTAGAGAGAGAGAGAGAACGCGATTGCAAATAAATACCTTTGGTTGTTTTTGTTACTGTTGCTGCTGACAGGCGCCGCCCCAGAACTGGTGACCAGGGTGGGGCTCCCAAAAAGCCATCGACGTTTGGGGACGCTCGGCCCTCCGGCCAGTGCTAGGCGGACATTCAAAGGATCCGCCTCACTCGGTCCTCACTCCCTCGAGCAAGGTTATCGGTGATCCACTTTCCTGGGTAGGTGCATTGGACCCCCGCCCCAGTCAGATTCAATGACCAAAAGTCTCGAGATTTGGAAAAGAAATGGTTCATGGTTCATGGTATGTTGCAGGTAGTGATGCTCAAGTAGAAGTTTAAACAGATCTGACACTGACATTGTTTCGATCTGTGATGTTTTTCTCGCTCCCATCTTCAATCTACAGTGCTCGAGGATGATCTGCCAATCGTCTATTCAAACAGGTCCCCTTTTTGACGAAATGGTCTTCGCAGAACTCCATCGCCATAGCAAGGCCTTAGCCCATTTCCATCAGGGGTCATTCTTTGTTAGCACTGAACTCCGCAACTCTCTTCACACCCTTCTCAAAGTGCCTCTTGATCTTCCACTCTCAAAGGAAACACCGGCGTCAGGCCCGCCGGCAAGCCGAACCTTAGGGGAGACGTCAGTCAAGAAGCATCCCAAAGGCGAAGACACCCACACCCCTGGGGACCTCGAAGCCATTCAAAACCTAAGGACTTGAGACCCCAATTCCCCCCCTAATCTAGGGTCTCTCTTAGGGTACGGGAATTCCGCAGGAGGAATGGGCCCAAAAAGGAACCACCGTTGAGGCTGAATGCTGAGGACGGTGTATACTAGAATCACTAGAAAGAAGCTCGGCAGAGTCGATGGTGTATGCTGATTGGTCCTGTCCTGCGGAAACGATGATCTCCCCATAGCTTCTACGGTGCCATATTAATTGCATTCCATTGGACATATTTCATGCCAACACTCTCACCAACGGAACGTGGATCTTCCTTCGCATCGCACCCCCGTAGCCACCGCCTCCCCCACTTGCCACGCGCAGGCCACGCGACGGAAAGCCGGTGCCGCCCAATGCCGCCAACGACGGCGTGAAGAGCAGCAGCCGCGTGGCCGGCAGCGGCGGCAGCGGGCGCCAGGCGCCGTCGTGCGCACGCGCCACGAGGCGCGGCGTGCGGGTTGGGCCGATCATGGTGGTCGGTTGCAGGGGGGTGGGAGAGGTACCGCTACAGCACCTGAATCATGGGGGATTGAATGGGTGCTCAGTAACTAACGGTGCTTGCAGTAAGAGCATGGATTCAGCATGGTATGTTTGGTTGAGTTCTCAATGTGCAGCGCCCTCTAGCTCGACTTCATTACAATGTTGGCGTTTTCCGTGAAGCCTTTTGTCGGAGGTGGCTGCCGGTAGAACTATCAGTACCCATGAAAAAAGCACACATGTAGGAGGTGGCCTTTCAGAAATCCAAATCCTCCACAATGTGCAAAAAAAGACTTGCTGATTTAAGGCCAATGGTGAAAGAGAAAAAGGCAACGCCTGATAACACCTCTGTATTGTTGACTTATCTTGTCTGATCGAGTGATTTGTCAGGCAACCGTTCCAGCTCACAACTCTCACCGCTGAAAAAGGATCTTGCAGTCGTCTGAACAAACTCTTTCTTCTGCTTCCTGGGTTTGTTTGGAGTTCACCCACTGGCCAAGCAGAAGCCATCTTGGCTCAAGGAGCTTGATTGGAAAGCGACCAGCGGAGAGCTGCGAGGGATGAAGCTGCCCGTAGGTGGTCGGAGCTGATCTCAATTGCTATAGATCTCGTGCATGGCTAACCTTAAGTTCAATTGGACAACCTGTTGGAAGCGATCGGGAAACTGCGAATTGCCTGGAGTCATAGGTATTCTACAAACCTCACTGTTGGTCATAGCTTGCGGTCCCCTTCCCCTTCTAGAAGCGTTCCAAACATCACCATGCACAAAACATATTAGTTGTATATTGTTCGTATTGTTGAGTGAATTAGAATGAATTCGACGCCCAAGTTCTTCGGTGCATGATGGGTCCAGCTCTCACAAAACCCACGATCCATCTGCGATCCGACGGCTTCGGCGTCGCACCTCCGCGTCGGCCGCGCCCGCCGAGCGGAGCCCGTGGAGGCCGCCTGGAGGCGGAGAACGGGCGGAGCAGAGAGATCCACCGGAAGGAATCCATCCCAACTCAACAAGTCCCAAAGGGTCCCCAAGGACCGGTTCAAGCGAGTTACAAGTCCCAGTCGGACTGACCTCAATGCTGGGTACGTTCACTGCATGTTCTTGCTGAAGCAACGGGTTGCTGGTACGAACACCCACTGGGCCGAGGCCTCCACCCTCTCCTGCAGCCTATTAGCCATAATTACCCCGCCTCCACAAAGCACCCCAGCAGCAGCCCAAGGGAGCCCCCATGTGGCACGCTGAACTGTCCGCAGACGGGGCCGCAGACTCCTGGTGCGCGTCTCACGTGCAGATGCCAAGATCCGGTAGCTGCAGCCGTGGGAGCCGCGTTGATCACGTTCATCCAATGGGGTGGAGATCTGAAAGGTGGATGGTGGTGGTACCTTAGATTTTGATCCCATGTTTTGGAAGGGGATGCGAGAATATGCGAGAGTCAAACCCAAAGCGACCCTTTTTGATATGACCTCTTCACACCCCAGCTCCTCCAGTTCCACCAGCTCCGGGACCGCGACCGGAACCAGCTGGAAGACCCTTGGGCTCCTCGAAGTGGGAAAGGTCTGAAGCGCCGCCGGAACGGAAGCGGGGGGGGTGTCCAGATGTTTTCCGCTCAGATGTCCAAAAACAAAGAATCCCTAGGGCTCCTGGCCCATATCCTCAGGTTCGGTGGTTAGACCCCCCTGGCACCCACCCCAACCACCTTCTCAGGAGGTGGGCCAGGAGCCCCAGGGAATACTCAGGAGTGTGTGGGGGTCTTCGGTGAATCGAAATGAATCTTGAGGGTCCATCCGCACTTTCTGATGATGTATAGTCGGTGCGTCCACCTGGATCCGATGCGCCTCGATGCGTGGTGGGCCGTGTCGATGTGCCGATGCCATGGAGCTTGAGACGTGACTTTCGTGGTGGGTGGAAGAGTTCCGAAGACCAACCGGGCATGGTTTTGTTTCGTTATGATGTTTCAACTTGCTTTAAGGAATTTTTGAGGGTTTTGATATGTGGTCCTCTTCAGGTGGATCAGTGGGTCAGTGGGTCTGAGTGGACCCACGGGGATTGGACCCATATCATGTTCGATCTGATAACGCCGGACCCGGCGGCGGGTTAACTTCATGACCGAAAAGCTGGGGCCTCGGCTTTGATTTGGGAAGTTGTATCACAATGCGTTGCCCTTGACCTTGAAATGGAGGTGTATAACGTTGCTGCTGCTGTTGCTGTTGCTGTTGCTGTTGCTGTTGCTGTTGCTGTTGCTGTTGCTGTTGCTGCTGCTGCTGCTGCTGCTGCTGGTGGTGGTGGTGGTGGTGGTGGTGGTGGTGGTGGTGGTGGTGGTGGTGGTGGTGGTGGTGGTGGTGGTGGTGGTGGTGGTGGTGGTGGTGGTGGTGTTGTTGGTGTTGTTGGTGTTGTTGGTGTTGTTGTTGTTGCTGTTGTTTGTTGTTGTTGTTGTTTGTTGTTGTTGTTGTTGTTGTTGTTGTTGTTGTTGTTGTTGTTGTTGTTGTTGTTGTTGTTGTTGTTGTTGTTGTTCTTGTTGTTGTTCTTGTTGTTGTTCTTGTTGTTGTT